TGTGGCCTACACGTGGTTAATACACGTATGGATTTCCTACAGCATGGCCAGCGTTATACGATTAAGTACGGGCGTGCCGTGGCTAGGCAGAGGAAAGGCACGGTTTGAGTAAGAGGCATCGTGGTGAGATCAAACGCTCGTCAAAATAATGAAATCAAAGATACCAGTCTTTTTCGCGCCGGTTTGGCAATTTTTATTTTTATCGATTTCTTTTGTTTTCTAATGGAGTTTTTACGGCACTCGCAATTGTATACGACCAAGGGTTGGATGTCAACAGAGAAGTCCAAACGGGGAATCAGGCTTTGCTCACCTCTCTTGCTTCAACAGCACAAAGTATGCTTCGAGAACTATCAAGGCACCCCGGAAATAGCGGGTCACTAGAGAGTGACAAACATACAGCAGAAGTAGAGGAAAAATGACGATAGTTAGTAAGGATTAGGAAAGAAAAAGCAACAGTTCCCTGTATGCCGTTCAGGCACAATTATGGGCATGCCATTGGTGAATGAGCCCATTTACAATTCTACTGAGCATAAGAACATATTAATGTCCCCCCTTTGGGAATGGCCTAAAGACACTTCATTCAGTTGCACTGCCCTGATTTTTTGGCCCAATACCTAACTATTATTATGTAACATTTAAAACACATTTCTGTGTGGACTTTACTTAAAACAAAACAGTGTACATGTAGTTCTACATTTTTAGTTTCCTAGGACTCTTACTCTTAATCTTTGGAAGTCACAAAACTTTGGTGGCCATTTTCTCGCCTATCCTTCAAAATTAATCGGAAATATCTCGACTTTCATTCAAGATAGAGGGGCACTCTTTCCATCAAAAGATAGACAAATGAACAAGCTTTATTAAGATAATATCAATAACCCCATTTGCTCGAAAATTGACGAGCGCCTGATTCCACTGCGTCTTAACACACGGTTCTTTTTCTTTTTATCTCTTCTAATAACAATAATAATCCGTTTGAAAACTTAAACTTTAAGCCCGATCGACACATAAATAGTTTTGAAAATTTCGTTTGCCTTATAAACATTGACTTTTTATTACGCGTGGCAAATCGGGCGCACTTTTATAGAGATTAACCTCAGTCACCCCAGGTGGCAGGCATGTGTTTGATCTGTCCTCCACATGTGCACATGACATGTCTTTGCACCATATAATGATTTTTCCCCTCGTGAATATATCCGGGAGAGAAAAAAAAGAAAGGACGGAAAAAATTGCGTAGTTTTTAATACATGGCTGACTCTGATAGATGTGTGGATAGACCGCTGCGTGCGTTGATTCACGTTGAGGAACAGAAATTGTTCGTGTTTCGTTGAAGTTGAAGTCACAGAAAAACATAATAATAATACATGTACATGGAAAGATAGCGGTGTTCGTTCAGTGAGGGTCACGCTGGGCTGTGGCGTGGATGATTCTAACATTTTTGTTAAATCATATACGGGGACGTTTTGAACTTGAGTTTTGACTTGTTTTGACTTGAGTTTGTCACAGTGAACTCTCCGTTCTCCATGCTTGTTTAATTTTTCTTTTTTCTTTCCTTAAAAACAAAACAAAAACGGAGACGCACTTTAAAATGAGATTAGAGCGGGGCGCGCAATTAAAATGGTCAAACTTCAACAAAACCATATCAACACATCATCAGAACGGTTTAACGACTTCATACTGCGGATTTTTCCTACTAACATACACGCATTTCAGCTGTGGTTCAGTTCTTTTTATGCCTCTGGGCAGATAAGTAATGCGCACATAACACGCATATTTATTATTATTATTTTTTTTTTTATAGTAGAGGGTTTTACGGCGCTC